TATAAGATCGGTGCGAGACGCGGTAGGGTCGTTTGTTGCATGGCCCTTGGACCTCATTTTCATTGATGATGAGGTAAGTTTAAAACCGTTAATATGAATCATTTAGATTTCAAATGTCAATTCTGAACCGTTAAGTTAATTATTTTTTAATATTAGCCTCCTACAAAACCCGCTAATAAGGGTAAGGAGATTTTGCAGCAAGGCGGCGAGTCTATGGCATCAATTCCAGAGGTACACTTAAATTGTTTATTATATGATATGAATTTAAAACTGAACGATTTTATAATTTACCTAAGTTATATGATTGTTAGGTATCTGCGAAAGTGTCACAACAAGTGACCCAGCCTGTTCGTAGCAGACCACCCCCGAAAAAGTCAATGCATAAGGGGGGAAGAGGCGGGGGAAGAGGCGTTTTTGTACCTCGATATCGGAATACACTTGGAGTACTTTTGGAAACCTCAGATTTGAAGTCAGGTGGTATTCGTACAATCCTTATGGATGCAGATATCTTTGGTCTTGACTGCCAAGAAACGATAGGATTGGACGAAATGACTGAGATTATGACGCATGGTGAATTAGGCATCGGCAATGTTCACGCATACATCCGGTATTCCGATAAATATATCATTTAATTAGTTGAACAATTTATTTACACATTTCAATGAAAATAGTCTAATGTTTATATGTTTTTATTTAAGGTTGTTGTACGATAAAAAAATGCGCGAGACTGTATTGGCAAGACGCTTCCATTTCTTGTCTGCCCATATTGTCAGCGGAGCGACAATTGTCAGGGAACCGGGTTCAGTTAGGGAGTACTTAGTGAATCGATACACGGCCTACGTCGGCAACCCAGATAGCTTGTTTATTTTGCCGTATAACACTGTTCCAGTGGGGTGAGTTTTTCATTTATTCTAATATATCTTTGTTTATTTTGCGTAGAAACTTTTCTTCTAAACTGTTGCTTAAATTTTTAGAAAACACTGGTTGTTGTTGGCTATCGATCCGATTAAAGAAGTTGTGTACTTTCTGAATTCGGTAGACGGGGAATGGACTAACTATCCCGCTATGAAGGAAACTGTTGATCAGTAAGTGAGATCGTTCTAACTATTCGTGTATATTTATATATTTAATTATTTCTGTGAGATTGATCTAAATATATGTTTTTATTTTCTTAGATCAATACAAATATTTCGTAGTCAAAGGGACGCACAGGTACCCCGGAGTAAATCATCAAATATTACTTGGATCAAAGTGCAGGTACAAAATTAGTTGCTTATAATAATAATGTTACTTGATAAAATTACACGACAACTATAAAATATATTCTGTTTTTCTATGCAGTGTCCGTTACAGAATAACGATGTAGATTGCGGATACTTTTGCTTGAGGTTTATGAAAGAAATCCTTCATAAAAATCAAGTAGAGATTCCAAGCACGGTATGGATTTATAACTTAGAATAATTTTGTATGATTTCTACATTTAATAACATCATGCATATACTGAAGTAATAATTTCTTATGTAGTACTTTGATGACCTCTATACTATGTCGTACACGAAAGTTCAAGTGGAAGAAGTCAAAGAGGAAATATGTCAATTTTATGTTGAAAACAGATTATTCTGATGGGTATGAATAAAATATTATTGTACGTGTTAGTTTGATTGTGTTGGAGCCTTTAATATTGTTTGTTTAATTGACCGTGTTGTTCATATTCATACTTTGCAGGATGAAGACCGTGTCGGTGGAGCATTATTTTCGATGTAATTATATATGATTTAGTTATGGTTACAAATGTATATAAGGATTGAATTATGGTTACAAATGTATATATACTTTGTATGTGATTTAGTTACATATGTATATAAGGATTTAGTTATGGTTACAAATGTATTATATGGTATACCGGTTTCTGTTAATATAATACCGGTTTCTGTGAATATTATAAGGATTGAATTACAGGTTAAATTATTGGACCAAAAAAAAATTACAGGCCGCACAGGGAACCTCAAATTATAGGTTTCATTTTAAAAAATTTGTATGAGCTACGAAAACGCTTTTGGCTAAAAAGCGCTTTCGTAGGCAGGATAAATAAAAAAAAAATTAAATAGCAACCCCCTACCAAAGCGCTTTTTATGGAAAAAGCGCTGTGAAAGACCCCCCTATCAAAGCGCTTTTTCCATAAAGCGCTGTAAAAACCATAATAAAAAAAAAATTAAATTAAATAGAAACCCCCTATCAAAGCGCTTTTTATGGAAAAAGCGCTGTGAAAGACCCCCCTATCAAAGCGCTTTTTCCATAAAGCGCTGTAAAAGCCATGATAAATAAAAAAAAAATTAAATAGAAACCCCCTATCAAAGCGCTTTTTATGGATAAAGCGCTGGGAAAGACCCCCCTATCAAAGCGCTTTTTCCATAAAAAGCGCTGTAAAAGGCCTGATAAATAAAAAAAAAAATTTTAAATAGCACACCTATCAAAGCGCTTTTCAAAAAGCGCTGGGAAAGACCCCCCTATCAAAGCGCTTTTTAAGGAAAAAGCGCTGTGATAGGTCCACCTACGACAGCGCTTTTGGCCAGAAAAAAGCGCTTTCGTAGCCTACGCCAGCGCTGGCTACGGCAGCGCTTTTAAGCGCTTTTAAAGGGCAAAAAAAAGCGCTGTGAAAGCCCATTTTCGTAGTAGTGTGACCAAAGAAATCAGATCTCTTTTCATTCGCTTAGCTACGGCGAAGGAAATTTGGGAAACTGCGAAACAAACGTACTCCGTCGACCAAGATGCATCAAGAGCTTATCAATTGCATTGTGAGGTAATCTCTACTCAATAAAATGGTGGATCTGTTATTACATACTTTGGAAAATTGAAGAGGTTATGGCAAGAGTACGATAGTATTAATAATTGTACCATGGAATGCACTAAAGATGTTGAGAAATACAATAAGATGGTTAATTCTCAACGAGTTTATGTTTTATTGGCTGTTTTGGATTCACATTTGGATGGAGATCATGGTCGTGTTCTGACTACCACTCTGCTTCCTAATGTTCAATCAGTCTATGCAATTGTAGGTGCAGATGGGTTTATACAATTAAACACAAAGCTGATGGAACTATTGAGAGGTATAAAGCACGACTAGTGGCTAAAGGTTACACTCAATCTTACGGTGTAGATTATCAAGAGACATTTGCATCGGTAGCCAAGCTCAACACTGTGAGAATACTTTTGTCACTAGCAGCAAACCAAGATTGGCCTCTTCTATAATTTGATGTGAAAAATGCTTTCCTACATGGAGAAATTTTAGAAGAAATTTATATGGATCTACCACCAGGTATGATAGATTCAAATGAGATGAAGGTTTGCAAGTTAAGAAAGACTCTATATGGATTAAAACAATCCCCGAGAGCATGGTTTGGTAGGTTTACTAAGTCTATGAAGGCTTTTGGCTATAAAGCAAGTAACTTTGATCACACCTTATTTTTGAAGAAAGGAGGAGGTAAAATTACAGCTTTGATTATTTATGTAGATGATATGATTGTTACAGGGAATGACCAAGATGAGATGTCTAGTTTGAAAAAATACCTCGCTTCTGAATTTGAGATGAAGCAACTTGGAAACCTCAAATATTTCTTGGGTATTGAAGTAGCTAGATCTAAACATGGTATTTTTCTATGTCGGAGAAAGTATACTCTTGATTTACTATCTGAAACGGGACTGCTTGGGTGTAAACCTGTTGATACCCCAATTGAACAAAATCATATGCTATTTCAATGCCAAAATTCAGCCAGCATAGACAAAGGAAAATACAGAGGTTGGTGGGAAAACTAATTTACTTGTCTCATACACGGCCAGATATTACATATGCAGTAAATGTGGTTAGTCAATTTATGCATGATCCACGGAAAGCTCATATGGATGTTGTTGAAAGGATCTTGAGATATTTGAAGTCCACTCCTGGAAAAGGAATTTTATTCTCAAATCATGGAAACTTGAAGGTAGAAGGGTATATCGATACTGATTGGGCAGGTTCAAGAAATGATAGAAGGTCTACCTCTGGTTACTTTACATTTGTAGGGGGAATCTTGTAACTTGGAGGAGTAAAAAACAATAGGTAGTAGCAAGGTCTAGTGCTGAAGCTGAGTTTAGAGGCATGGAACTAGGAGTTTGTGAACTTTTATGGATACAAAATGTTCTATCAGATTTGGGTTTTGAACCAAGGGAGACTATGACTTTGTATTGTGACAATACTTCAGTAATTGTCATTGTGCACAATCCTGTGCAACATGATAGAACGAAGCATGTAGAAATCGATAGACATTTTATCAAAGAGAAACTTGAAGCTGGAATAATTTCTTTTCCTTTTGTAAGATCTGAATTTCAGTTAGCAGATGTTATCACTAAAGGAGTGGCAAGTAAGGTGTTTAATGAGTCTTTGTTCAAGTTGGGAATGTGTGATATCCATGCACCAACTTGAGTGGGGGTGTTAAGATAAGTCAAAGATATTTTAGCTAAATTAAGTAGGAAAATATTTATGCTGTAAGTAGGAAAATATTTGTGTTGTAAATAATTTATTTCATTCCCTTAATAGAAGAGGAATTATAAGGACTCTTTTGTGTATATATAGTACCTTGATCAATGAATAAAATCATCAGAATTATTACTTTGAAATGTTCTATAGGTTTGACCCATAAGGTAAAAACATATTCTAACACCAATCAATTTTATCCATTGAACTAATGGGTGCTCGTTTCAAACGAATTTCAGATTCGGTTTGTTCCTCTCCTCCGAAAAATGGTTGCTGAGATCAATTCAATTACTTTCAAAATCTGAAATTTCTCTGAGGAAACCCAAACCGCTACATGATGGGCTAAGTTTCCACCCACACTGTCACCCGCCAAAAAATATTTTGTGATGTCGGCAGATTTTCCTAAAACATCACTATTTTTATCGAGAAATTTTAGAATTTCTAAACCGTCTTCGTATTGAGATGGAAAATGATGCTCAAGGGTAAGACGTTAATTGACAAAGACTACAATGGCGGGAAAAGAACAACAAAATAATCGGCAAAGAAAATGGTATGGGATAGAAGAAGGAGACATGTAAGCGAAGCTGCCTCCGTGGAAGAATATGATAACTGGGAGGGATGAGATTGTGGAGGCATAAGCAGAGGAAGGTATGAAGAGACAAAACCAGAGATTCTGTGTGGAGTTTACCACGATTTCAGAGGAAGATATATCGTTGATGGATTTGGAGTTAGGGTTAGGAGGAATTTTCCAGTCAAGGAGTGAGAGGAGGTGGCGATTGATAGTACCATTGGAACGACTGGTGATATCGAAAATGGCAAAGAGGAAGGACACAGAGGAGACCACCACCCACGGAAGGTTGGGCTTCGAGGTTGAAGACATGGTGTTGTGGTTGTTAACAACCTTTTCTTGGTGATGTTAATTACAATTTAGAAGTGAAGTGAAGAAAGAGTAAGCATATGTGTATTTATGATTTGTTGAGTACCAAGGGAAGAGAGATCATGGAGGGTGATAACACATTTATAACCGATCAGGCAATGGTTTCAATCTAAGAACTAACTTTAGCACCACTCATTAGGTCCAATGAATGCAAGTATACCTATAATTATTTAAGTGTTGAAAGATGATTTATTTGTGCTATTAAATGAAAGTTTGACACAAGTTTGGTATTATCATAGGGAAGTTTAACAACATCAACTCAAAGACGCATCTTCAAATGTGTAACATTTTATTTATTTATTTTTTAAAAATAAAATTTTGATCATTACATTTTTAATTTGAGATTAATTGTCATGTATTGTTAGTGTAAAAAGTTTTTCAGTATCAATGTATCACAATCACCTATAAATATTATTTTATTAATAATTAAAATAAAAATTTAATTTAATTTAAAATTTAACGGTTACCGTTCGTCGACGGTGGAAAATTTCTTTATACTGTTGTAGTGGTAGAAATGTTAAGACTAAGCCATTAGATTGACTTAACTCGCACAAATCAAATAATAATCGTAATCGTGCTTTATTGTTTCCAAAGGAATGAGAAAAGAGCGAATAACTCAAAAAAGGGGGAAAAGAATCTAAGTTCGGGGTTGGTTATGCAAAGGGAACGTATTAACACCTTAAACATCTACGGTACTCCGCAGGAATCTCTTTGCAAATTTGTGTATTTTGGCTATAATAGTTGTATACAAAAATTGATTGTGGGGGTGAGAAAATAAGTATTTTTTTACAATTTTTGCATCCGCCGCAGTTGCGAACCTTTAGTGTCTACGTACCACCTTCCGTGCAATAGGGGATCAGGGTACTCTTAGTTCACCTTTTAAAATTTTAAAACACAAATGTGTTGGTTAACTTTAAGAGAAAAGACATCATTGTCTTATCCGAGTGGAAGAACATACTTACAACCCACGATCATGAGAAAGGAGAATTTGCGTCATCTCAAAGTGGAGGACATGGCTTGAATTTTAAAATCAACAAAGCCCCGATCAACATCCAAGTGGAAAATATCTCACGTCACTATATATTTTAGAAGTATAGTGGCTCGCATCACTACAAAGATTGGCAAGAGTCTAATCTTTTGAGAAAAGTTTAAGTAAAAAGAAAAAATGGCAAAAATGGTTTGAATGAATTGATTAACTTTTAGTCTTCTCACAAAAAAATGTCAAGGTATTATTAATTTGGTTAAAGTTTGATTAAGAAAATATTTTGAAAATGCATGGACCAAAGTCCAAGTTTATTATGAAAGTGATTCAAGTTTAGGAAAACAAGAATGGTTTTGAAAATGAGGGCAAATATTTTTGAAATTAAAGAAGATTGGAGGAGATGAAGGGACTATCCTAAAGCATAAGGTAAAAGCTAGGAAAAAGAACCGTCTAACCAACCAGAAGCCAACACTTGACACAATGAGTCAATGTAGAATTCCTATCATTTGGGTTGAAACTAAACAAGCAAAGATAATAAACCTCTTAAGAAAACCAAGCTTCAAATGCATTAAGTCTTCAGAAAAATTGGACAGAGTAACGACTGTATACAGATGAATTCCTAATCACAGATAAAACATATAATTGGAATAACCTGCACACAAAGAAAACAAACAATCCAATGTCTCAGAGTAAACCCCGAGAACTCCAGACAAAATTACAATAGAAGTCACAAGGTCTCAAGGTAGGTCAAGGTCTCTACTCCTAAGTCCAAGAAGTCCATAACTCTAAAATGCCAAGGATAGTAACCAAATAGTCCAAGCAACCTTAAAGTTTTTTATTGTTCAAGTTGGTTATTAGGTATCTTCAAAAAGAAAATGAAAGTTCAAGTGAGCAAAATAAAAATGACATAAAAAATAAATGCTTAAGTGAGCAAAGATGAAAATAGCATGAAATGTAAATGCTAAAATAAATGGTGCGTAAAGTAAAAGCATAAAAATAAAAGTCAATTGTTAATGAGTTAGAAATTAGAGGTTAGTTGAATGACCATCTTGAATATTGCATTTGAAAACTCATTAGAAGATTGATAAAATCAAAGCCTCTCAACAACAAGTTTCATTTGCTTTTTGTCAAGTATATCATTCATTTCAAAATCTTGAGGCAACAACAAATTACCAACGATGTTTAAATGATTCACTTAGTCCAAAATTTATGAAGATCCATTAGAGGATTGATAAGACCAAAGCCTACTAATAATGAACCTCAAGGTTATTGGATCAAAGGTTTCAAATTAAACATATTTGGGCTTGCAACCATAGGTTTGGGCCACGAATGATCATTTCTCGAATCGAGACAAAATTTAGTGTTATGTTAAGCAATCGTAAGTGGACTTACATAGAAGTCGCACCTATTTTGAGGTCGGTCAAATATCAATTTATGTGCCATATATTTGGAGATATGATATGTAGTTCATCCTCTAACAACATGTAGCACAAGTGAGAAGGGGATAAAATGAAGAGGGAGAGGATGCATGTATGAAATTAGGGTTTCAAATATCATCAACATCATTCATCCATTTTGGTGGATTTGGTTTCTCAACCTATCAACACCCAAGATCCAATTAGGTTGAGGAATTTGTCACCAAATGAAGTCCAAGTCAGAACTAAAATAAAAAATAATAAAATAATATTTAAATAAAACAATGTTTAAATGGTTAATAAAAGGAAAATGAATGGTAAAGTAACCCAAGTATATTAAAACACCAAATAAAAATCCTTAAAAAAATTCAAAGGTCAAACATGATTTAATAAAGGTTGACAAATTTTTTCAGAAATTTTTAAGTCAGAAACAATTTTTAAAAATTGAAGAAAATAAGTAAAATAAACCAAAATTTGTGAAAAACAGTAAAATTAAAAATAAAAATAAAACAAGGTTATCAAAAATTGCCAAAAGGTCAAATGACCTTTCCATAAATTTATTCATAATTTAAAAATCAGGGAAAATATTTTTAATCAATTAAAACAAGTTAATTAAAGTGAAAAATATATAAAAAAACACCAAATTATAAAATAAAATAATGAAAAAATAAAAATCAGAAAGAGAAAAATCCAAAATATTTTTAAGAATTTTTTCAGATTTTGAGTCAGGAATGGATTTTTTATGAATTTTTGAAGTTTAAATCAATTAAAATATAAAATCAGAAAATAAAAATAAAGCCAAAAAGATATAGGCCATTGGATCAGTGTCAAAACGTGTTAGTAATCAAATCTAAGGGATCTGGTGTGCATATCATGGTCATTAATGAATAAATCACTGGATCAAATTCTAAATCAGATTTTTTAAAAAAACAAGTGGCGCCTTGTCATTGGTTGAGAGATGACACGTTGGTCATCTTCAACCTTCAGCCACACAAATTGCAAGTCTCTCATACTATAAAATCAAGACTCTGACCAATGTCATTCACTTCGTCTCATCAAGACGAAGACAACCGTACCCTCGCGAAAAATTTATTTAAGGTGTAGCTCAGTCGATTTGCAAAAAAAATCAGAAGGAAAAAGTTGAATATGGATTTGAAAATTCATGGCCGAAACTCACTTCCATTTGAAAACAAATGATGCGACGAGTATCAGAATAATGAGAGCTTCATTGTAGTAGAAAATATTAAAAGAATTGATGAAGAAATCTACCTATTAAAGTTCAAATTCAGAGCTCTGAGACTTGACTTATCTAGCACGATTTAGGATGCTTCAAGGTTTGGTTCTTCTTCTGTTAGCTTCAGTGAAGTTCAAGGATGAAGAATGAGCAAAGAAAATGGATTGAAGAAGGCTGTAAAACTAAATTCGAAGTTGCAGAATTGTGAGTTAGGGAGAGAGTTTGGCAGGGTGATTTTGGTTGTTCAAGCTTGCAAAAATGAGTGGAATAAAGCATGTATTTATAGGATAAGTGAATGGAATCAAGAGGAGGGGTGAATGATGCAATTTCCCTTGAGTTCGTGCACACCTGTGATTATGAAGAAAGTGTAACCGCGTGTGCATCAAAACTAATCCAAGTGATGCATTTTGACACTCTAAATGATTCACGCATATTTTCTAATCATGTTTAAGTGGAAACGCGTGGTAATTTGGTGATTAGAAGCCATATTATGAAAATTGCAATATGACTTGAAGTGAAACTTCAATTCCAAGGTACCCTTTTTGAACCAATGGTATTCATAACTCAAGTGATCTTAGGGCATAACTCTTGAAGCATTTGAAAGATAAGGTCACAAATTTTGAAATGTGCCAAGAATGAGATCAAATGGATGCTTGAGCTAAAATTTGTGATGAGTCAAAGTTGAGAAAAAGATGTTGACTTTTTGTACTTAGAAAAATTCTAAATTTTTCTTCAAAAGTGACCTATAATGTTTTGATTCCAAACAAAGCCTTCCTCCAAAATCTTGCTTTGATCAATGATGCTAGCTTGAATTAGACTTCCCAAAGAGAATTGTGAAACTTGAATCACTCAAAAATACCAAATATTGAAAAAGTTATAACCTTGTGAAATTGGTGAAAATCCATGAGGTGACCTATAATCTTTTGAGTCTTTGAGGCATCTTCTAACCATTTTCAAGCTTTGCACTCAAAAGGAAAGTTGAAGTTCACATATTTGAGATTAATATGGAAAAATAATGAGCTCAAGGAGATAAAAAAAGACCAAGTTATGATCTTTTGAAGTCACATAAGGGAATTTGATAGCCTATCTAGAGGACATGTAATCTTTCTTCATAATTAGGCATCTTCCACACAAAATTTGCTTAAAACCTTTGAATTGATTGGCTGATAAACCTTTAAAGAGAAGCATATATTTGGAACCACTCAAAAATCTTAAAAGATGAGCAAGATATAGCAAAACCCTAGCTCCTAAAGCACCAAAATGACTTGGAAACCCCTTTCAATTTTGATAATATTTCTTGCACAATCACTTT